TGCCCCTCCCCTGCCCCCAGTGTACGTGTTGGAACGGGAAAGGAAGAAGGACGACACAGGGTGTCAGGCAGCCTTGGCTGCATGCTGGGCCGCCCTCTGCTGCTGCTGCCTCCTGGACAACTTGGACTGAGCAGCCAAGACCCAAGTGCTTCCTCCAGGCGTTCTGCCTCCTACAACTGGAATAAACAACTAGTGCTGCATGATTTCCATTTTTTCTTTCTTTGAAAAATGCCTAATCTACAGACTTTTAAATTTTAGCACCTGTGGTGGGTGTGAAATGGTATCTCACTCTTCCAACTTACCTTCCCTAATTACTAGTGACCTTGAACATAAAAATATATAATTTTGGTGATTTGCTTTTACAAATCTTTTTAATTGCTCTTATATCTTCTTAGCCCCCCCCCCATTTCTCTGTCTTTTCTTACTGATTTGTAGGGAGTATTAAAATATTCCACACACTATAATATTTGTTACTTTTGTAGGTTTTTAAATATCTTCTTTCTCAGCCTTTCTTATTTAAATGTCATATTTATCAATCTGTCCTTCATGCTTTGTGTGTTTTAGTCTTTAAAAAATAATCTAAGATCATAAAGATAAGCCTGTATTTTCTTCTAAAAATTTTCGTAGTGAATCTTTAGTCCACCTAAGTTTATTTTTAATCATAGTATAGGGTAAGGTTCTGGTTTTCTTTTTCCATTTTGATAGTTCCAACACCATGTATTGATTAGGTCATCCTTTACCCATTGGTTTGAAAAGAGATTCATCATATACCAAGTTTCCATATGCAACTGGGCAGCTTCCATGTAGAAACAGAAGTCTGGTTTGCTCAGTATCTTTTCCAGCCCCAGCACATGCCCATTTTTCCTCCTTAGATTTGGCTGTTCTTTGCCTTTCACTCTTTAATCTGGATTTTAGGGTGAGTGTCAGTTTCTATAGAAAACCGCCATGTTTGGCTTTAACTGGGATGACATGTACTTTACAGAGTAATTGGGGAAAGAGCTGACGTATTTACAGGATTGTCTTCCTATCATGAACATGCTATCTCTCCACTTATTTGCCTTCTTTTAAATTCTTCAATAAAGTCATATAATTTTCTTCATATAGCTTTTGCATATCCTTTGTTGGTTTTTAAATTGGATTTCTTCTAGGGTACGTTATAGTTTTAATGCTACTGTGAATTAATTGCTTTTTAAAAAATACATTTTTGGTGAAAATAACTTATTCACTGCAGCGGGTCACATATTAGAAGATTCTAACCCAGTTTTATCACAGCATCACCTTGGGGCACTATATTTAAAAAAAAAAAATTTAATATGCTTTTATTCGTTTTTAGAGAGAGGGAGAGAGAGAGAGAGAGAAACATTAATGATGAGAATCACTGATTGGCTGCCTCTTGCACGCCCCCTACTGGAGATCGAGCCAGCAACCCAGGCATGTGCCTGACCTGGAATCTAACTGTGACCTCCTGGTTCATGGGTCGACACTCAACTACTGAGCCACTCCAGCCAGGCTTGGGGCACTTTAAATTGGAAGGAGCATTTCATCAATCTGCCCCTTGCATATTCCGAGGGAAGCACCCTCAGTCTACAAGGACCCACATTCATTCAGTAAACACTGAACAGTTCCAGTGTATCAGGTGATGGACCACATGGAACAGACCCCATCTCCGCCCTCATGGGGCTGACACTGTAGGGAGGGAACCAGACATTAAATAACCCCACAGGTAATAATTGACAGTCTATTTTCCTATGAAGAGAATATATGTATTGCTATGAAAACATAAAAGGGACCAGCTTACATAGTCTGGGAGGGATCTGAAAGATGAGTGTTAATAGGCAAAATGGTTGTAGGAAGAGCAGGTGCAAAGGCCCAATGGCAAGAGAGAACATGGCTCATCTGAGAAAGTAGAATCGGTGTGGCAGGGAGTGATTGGATGTTGGGGAATAGATGAGAAACAGGCAGGAGCCCCGGTTAGGGGTTTTGATCTTTGTCCTGTGAGTGGTAGGAAGCCACTGAAGAGTTCAAAAAAAGGGGTGACATCAAATTTGCATTTTGAGAGAGCCCTTTGGCATCCATGTGGAGAATGGTTTAGAAGGGGGCTCAAGTTCGCATGGTGGTGATGGAGAGACCTGAGTGCATTTGAAATATTTGGAAGTGAAATCAGCAGGACTTGGTAATGGAGTGGGTATAGGGATTGAAGGAAGGAGTCGGGGATGACTCCTGGGCTTTTGACTGGAAGTAGGTGCCTGCCGGTGGTATTTGTGGAGGTTGGAAACAAAAATAGGAACCATGTTTGGTTTGGAGGAAGAAAATGAAGTTGAGCTCTGAACATGTTAGATCAAGGTATCAAGGTGACAATTAGACATTCAAGTGGAGATGTCATGTAAGCTTGGAGCTCAGAGGAGAGCTCAGGCTGGAGATATAAACGAGGGAAGCATTGGCATATTGGTGGTAACTGGAACTGTGGGAGCGAATGAGATCAAGTTGGGTAGAAATATGGAGAAAAGAAAAGGTGGCACGTAGGTCTGAGCTTTAAGGAAAACTGAAGTGGACCTGTAGGCGATGGACCTGCAGTGAGTCAGAGATGGAAAACCAGGAAATGGGGTGTCCTGAGAATGGAGAGGAGAATTTAAGCAAGGAGTGATCAGTGGCATCAAATGTTGCTAGGAGGCCATGTAAGGTGAGACTCAGAAATGTCTATTGGACTTAGCCACACTATTACCAAGGAGGGGTGGACTTCTCTCCGGTTCCTGTTCTGTGAAGGACACCAATAGAGGAAGGTGGGACTGCTAGGACCAGAGACAGGGCTCCTCAGGTCCGGAGGAAGGCAGGCATGTGCGTAGGCGTGAAAGAGACAAGCTCAGAGGTACAAAGAGCTGGAGAGAGGCATGCAACGAAACGTTAAGTTCTAGAAAGTCCAGACACCAAGTAAGGGAATCAGGCTAATGTCCCTCAGCTTTGAATCTAGACAGAGAAGATACTGCTCCTCAAGCAGAATGTGTCCCCTGGAGTGGTGGTTGGAGGGTCCATCATGTAGATAGCCAAGCACATGACCATCCCTACTCTGCGGACACCCTGCTAAACAGCAACAGTGTAGGTCCTTCATGACTACCATTTCAGACTTACTGATAGTTTTCTGATTTTTCTAATGTTTTCAAATGAAACCACATACAATTCCAGTATGGGAAACATACTGTGGAACTGCAGTTGAGGCAAGAATGTACCGTCCCCTACCTTTTTATGGAACCCCGGGGACCTGAGGAATAGTACATTTGAAAGCCTTTGGTCTTTTCAGATTTCCCAGTACATTTGGCCAAGCCCAGGGAGGTTCAGGCTGGATGGGTTGCCCTGGAATATCCTCCAGGGATGCTGCCTCACAAGCGGAATCGGGGTGTAATTGCTGGTGTATCCTGTTGAGATCTGGAGGGTACCTTATTGCCTGGTTATTTCCACTTTTTTGGCGATTATAAATTTATGTGCAGGGTTTTCTGTGAACATAATTTTCATCTCTGAGGGGAATGGAATACCCAAGAGTGGAATTTCTGGATATGACTAAGAATGTGTTTAGGAAACTGCTATTGATTTCCAGAGCGGCGGTACCATTTGTATTCCTACCAGTGAGGGGAATGAGTTCTGGTTGCTCTGTATCCTTACCTCTACTTGTATTTTTTCCATGTAGCCATTCTCCTAGGTGTAATAGTATCTCTTTGTGGTTTAATTTGCATATTTTAAATGCCTGATGATGATGTCATGGGCTTGCTTTCCCTCCTTGTATCTACTCTTTGGTGTCTGTTCAAGCCTCTTGCCCACTTTTAAATTGAGTTCCCTTCCTGTGGAGTTCTGAGTCTTTAATATTAATTCTAAATACAAGTCCTTTGTTGGAGATGATCCCCTTAACAGTGTCTTCCACAGAACCAAAGTTTTAAATTTTGACTAAATCTTTTTCTTTTCTAGAGCATACCTTTGTTTCAGGTCTGAGAACTCTTTGCCTAATCCCAGGTCATGAAGATTCTCTTCTGTTTTTGTGGGGGTTTTTTTTAGTTTTATGTTTTATGTTTTACATCTAAACCTATGATCCACACCCTGGCCGGTGTGGCTCAGTGGTTAGAGCATCAGCCTATGGACTGAAAGGTCCTGGGTTCGATTCCAGCCAAGGGCATGTACCTCTGTTGCAGGTTTGATCCCTGGCCCCATGTGGGAGGCAACCAATCAATGTCTCTCTCTCACATGGATGTTTCTCCCCCTCTCCCCCCGCCAAAAAAAAAGCAATGGAAAAAATATCCTTGGGTGAGGATTAAAAAAAATAAATCCATGATCCACTCTGGGTTAATTTGTATATAAAATGTGAGGTTTAAGATGGTTGAGGTTTTTTAGTTTTTTGCATGCCAATTTTTTCAACATTTGTTTGAAAAGACCACCCTTTCTCCATTGAATTGCTTTTGCATTGTCATCCAACATCAGCTGACCATTCCACTTCCTTGATCTGTCTGTCCTTTTGCCAGGACCATACCGTCTTGACTGCTGTAGCTTTATATTAAATCTTACTTAAAATAAGGTAATGGGACCCCTCCAACTTCGATCTTTTTCAAAATTGTTTATTTAGTTCTCTTGACTTTCTACAAATTTTAGAATCAGCTTAGTTACAAAAAATACTGCTGAGCTTTTGATTAGAATTGGATTAAATCAACATATCATTACGGGGCCCGATGGGTATTTCAGTGGGATTACTCGCTCACTTACGTGCGTAACCTTTCAGGACACAAGGCAGCCTGCTCTGCCCCTCCTTTGCTATGTTGTGCTTACTCCAGAGTCAAAGCCCCAGCTCGTGGCTGATGACTTTGGTGTCCTTTGAAGTTTGGAAGTAAATGAGGTGGGGGCTACATCACACTGGTAGAACAGCCATGAAAAGATGACTAGCATGACGAGGGGCTTGTGGGCCAGGCCATGCTCTGGGTCAGGTAGGCCACCATCATTCACAGCCTTGGTGTCCATGAGTCGCAGCTTCTGAGCAGTTTGTGAGCAAGGCTGCACTGGTTTGCCAGCCCTTAGAGGATCTGTGCCTCGAGGTCGTTACTCCCCTGCCACAGGGTCATAGAACTGTTGTGTTCTGGGCAGGATCAGGTTTTTTTTCCTCTGGATTTTCCTTAATTTCTTCTGCCTGGCATAGCAGCCCCGCTCATACTTATTTCTCCAAAAACTGTATTAGAAATATATTCATGATACAGTGAGTTGCGTCCTCCCTTCTGCTGTAGCAGTGTCACCTGACGTTGGGCTTATACTTGACCCCTCTCCCCCCTTTACCTTTATGCGGACATCTTTCCCCACTCACACCCATGGTTTCTGTCTGAGGGGATGGTACAGACTCCCGGCAGAACAGTGGGGTGCCTGGGAATCGCCTGTGGTGCTCTCATCCTATGTACTCCTGCCCGCTATTGCCCTACCATACCCTCTGTCTCGTGGCTGGCTTCAGAGTAGAGGAAAAACTGCTTTCTACTCTCCAAATGAAACAATAAACAGGCTCTTCTAAGGTGTCTCTTCCCCTCTGGGTATATGAGATTATTCTCCAAAGTCATGTGCCACAGAAGTGGGTCTGTCGCCTTAGTAAGCCATCTGAGGTTGCCTTTTGGTGCCTGCTTCTCTCACCAGCATGAGGCTCTCAGTCTTCTCCTCAGATTTATAAATACTAAAATTATAAGTCATTTTATAAACTCATCTGGATAGACCGGACCCTACCCCAAAGCTGTTCAACCCTCCTGTCAGCCAAGGCGTGTTTGTGAATGTGCAGGACCCTGTACTCTGGGCCTTGGGTGCGTGCTGCCAGGCCAGCAATCACAAATGTAGATGCTGCACCAGGATGCCTGGCACTTCAGTTCTTAAGTTGTATGGACATAAACAGTGAATGTGTATCAAATTATGAAGGATGACATTTGAAATGTACTGTGTGATCCCACTAAGAATCCCCACGATGAAACTTTCCCATTTGTGAACAGACCTGTTTTTTCTTCTTAATACCTTTGTCCTCATTTTCCCAAGTTATGTAAGGCAATAGTTTCCACAGATGTCTGTCCTTCCTAGAGAGGAGGAAGCAGAGGCTCCACGAGGTCAAGCGGCTTACCCGAGGTCACCTAGCAATGAAAACAGGGCCAGGACCTCAGCTGGGATCTGCCCAGCTCCCGAGTCAGTAGCAGGGATGTGGGCCCCGGTTTTGATGTCTTTTGTTGGTGCTAGTGTGTGTTTGGGGGGCGGGGGGCGCTTATTTTCTGTTATTTAAGTGGGGTGAGTTCCACTTTCCCCCTTGTAGAATGGCGAGGTCTTTACTGGAAAGTACCTTTGGTCAGCTTCCAGCACTGCGCTGAGTGTCCCATGAGGAAAGTGATGCGCACTCGTGCGATCTCACACACACCGTTCAGGCTCCTCAGCCACCTTCGCTTCTGCAGCATCTCCATTTGGGAGGCGAGAGGGTGGGAGGAAGTTGGTCCTTTCACTTTAATATTCTGTGACCATGGACCAAAAATGCTATCAGCTCCTTTACCCCATTTCTGCATTTCTTTCCTAGACCAAAAAAACAGACTGAAGAACTGCCTCTTGATACTCTCTTGTCCCCAGAAAATTCAGTCCCTTTCCTGAGTCAATTAAAAAGGCCACCAGTCCTGATGGAACTTCTGAGATTCAGCTGTGGACTGATCACACGCCATTGGCTTTGTTTTTTTTAAGGCGTAAGGAGAAACACCTTACTCTTCAGTTTTCAGTCTTCTAAGTACGTACATCCCTTCTAACTTGACCATCCTTTCGTATTATGTTCCACAGCTGTTCTTCCTGCGGACGTGTCTACGTTGTCTTAGTGATGGTCAGGCTCGCAGCTCAGTGAACGCGCGCACACTGAGAAGGTTGCCTTACTTCCTTTATCTAAGGAAATGAGATGCTTCTAAACATTTCACCCTCTCTTGTCCCTGAGGGGTCTCAACGGTTGAAGTTGTGTGTTCTGCCTCCCAGTACACACAGCCTCCCCCCCGGGGTGGGGGTGGCTTTTTCCCTTTGCCCTGGGAGCTGCAGTGTTAACCACGGATAGCCAGTTCCCCGCTTTTGTCATCCCGTGGTGATCTGGGGCCACATGTACAAATATGAATCTGAATACAGGGTGCAGGCGCCCCTCTCCACACACAGACCCAGAATAGGAAAACGTGTTTCTGGGGTTTCTTCCGTAGGGTGTCCTCCCTCTTCCACTTTATGCTATGCCCTGGGCCTAGCACTTTACATTGTCTTGTTTTTGTCATAAAATGTAGGCTCTCAGGCACTACTTTTCCCATTTTGCAAGTGAGAAGACTGTGGTTAAAGGGAAGCTGTGACTTGTTTGGGGTCAGATGTCCTGTCAGTGGCAGTGTCAGGATTGGAACCTAGGCAGCACCACTTCAGAGCCCAGGTACATAGATACTGTCCTTAAACAATGAAGCAACACAAGGGGTGAGTGGTCAAGGAAAGTCTGGAGTAGATCTGTTGAGGGGAAGGGTCCAGTCACCTCTCCTCCCCCCATCCCCAGGAGGTGCCTTGTTCTGGGCCAGCACACCCACTCGCCTGCCTGGAGATTGCCAAGTGGCTGCCAGGAAGGACCCTGAAATTCCCTTCATTTCCCAAGTCATTCTGAGGCAATGGGCCCTGACTCTCTTGGGGACATAACTGTAGATCTCGCCCTCCTGCAGAGAGGAGGCCTTTCGCCCTTGCATACATAACCACATTTCAGGTCACTTGCAGCCAGGCTGCTGATTTGAAGTGTCTAATCTTGATGTGCAGAGCACGGGGCCAGGAGGCAGAAGGTTTGGGCGACAAGCCAAGTACCTACCTTTGATTACTACGTGACTTCAGTCAAGTTATTTCCCTTCTTTGAACTCAGCATCCTCTTCTAGAAAATGACTGGCAGTTGTGATCCCCAAGTCAGTTTCACCTGCAGTTTGGTCTACGATACCTCAGTTGTTTCAGGGTCTATAGCCAACCCTGTCCTAGTGGTCCCAGAAGGTCTAGCCCAAGGACAGGGCCACAGGAGGTGATGGCAGTGGGGTCCTGCTTATCAGACTGCCACAGTGTCTTATCTGTTTTTGTTGTTTATAGAGAATTTTGCTATCAGATCTACTCTTCATAGAACTGACTGGGGCGGACAGGGCTAAGTTCAAGTGGCCTTGTGACTGAGGGAGGGGGGCTGGGTCCCATCCCTCCTCTGGATGCTCTGAGTGAGATGGGCCTGGGGTTCACTAGACTCTCTCATCAGTCTCTCAAAATGTGTGGTCTTGGCTGAGATAGCTGCTTGGTTTTGTCTAGCAACTGCATCCCTTGTAGGATGGTGGCAGCTGCGCTTCTGGAGATGTTAGAACAAGGACCCACACACAGGTCAAGCTCTCACCCTTTCCACACCAATCCACAAACACTGAGCACTGTTTGGAGAGGGATGGTGCGCTGAATGCTGGATCAGCAGGGTGGCAGTCAGTGATGTGGGTGGGCAGGTGAACTGCTTGGCCAGCTCCCAGACTGTTCCACCTTGGAGTGGGTATCCTAGGACACTGAAGCAGAGAGAGGGACAGAGACTTGGAGACATGGCCTCTCCTGACTCACAGCTTCACAGAAGAGACAATGAGGCCAGAGCTGAAGCTACAGCAGGAGGCATGAGGAACGGGGGACCGAGGCCCAGGAGGCCCACGAAGGCCTGAGCTTAGCAGACAAAGGCAGCTGCTGCAGAGCCAAGGCCAAGGCTGTGCCAGCCCCACATCCCACCTCCCTGTGGAGAAAGATGAAAGTGGAACATATTCCTAACCTCTCCTGCTCTTAACTTTCAGCCTCCAGGGAAAACTACACACCTTGATGGCTCTGCTTTTTCTAGCCACCCCTTCCCCGTCACTCCTCCCTCAGCATACCTAACCCGGTGCTAACAGGCTTGTGCAGGTGACACAGTGGCACTGCCTTCAGGGCATGTTTTCTCACTAGTGCAGCCCCTGTGCTGAGTAATAAGTGATCCCACTACACAAGCACATCCAAGGAAAGTTGAAGTGAATCCTTAGCAAGTTGTATACTCTCCCCTTGGCCTCCATGGAAGGGACAGGATCCATGCTAGAGCTACCTTGAGATTTTACCTACTCCAAAAATGCTTAGATTTCCCCCTCCCTGCCTGCCTCTTGGTCTGAGCAGGAGGAAAGCTGTTCCAGCATCGTCTGCTACCTCTGGAAAGGCTGACTGGGTGTTTCTGTTGTTCAGATTCTGAAGGTGGGCTGAGGGCAGCTGAGGCGGGCACAGGCTCCAGGCCTCCTGCCTCTGGCAAAGCTGTCATTTTGCTAGAGGCACTTCTTGGAAGGTGCAGTGGCTGTGGTGGTGGTAGCAATTGAGGAGCAGCCCTGGGTGCCATGACTGGTCTGGGCCTCGAGAGACCAAGATGTAGCTTCCTAGTTCATGGAGCAAGAAGGCCCAGATGTCAGAACTCTGTGGGAGGCCCCAGTCTTGTTTGCTTCTCCTTATTAGCCCCTCCTGGGTTGTGACTATGTACAGATGCATTCTCAAAAGGATGGGCCATACAGCTCCATTACCACCAGCACCCGATTAATCATTTAAAATGTCTGAGCTGAGCAACTAAAAGGTTTCAGATTCCAGGAAGGAGCTGACTGAGGAGTCTTCAGCTGAAAAGGCCTCTGCTCACATTTCTTGAGAGTCATCTCTGCCCTGGCCCCTGTGTGGCCTGGACTCCATTTGCCCACTGCCTGCCCAGAACCAGGTTTTGTGAATGGCACCCTTGGGGCTGCTGGTTGATATGTGTGGTGGGCTAAGTTGTAGTGGGCTGGTGACCCTGTAGAAGACCCCAGGGCTTGGGCAGGCATCTGGGCTCAGGGGGCTGTATGTCTCCAAGCATCTTCCATCTATTTACTCTGGTTCCAGCACAGAGGCAAGAGGGTAAGTGGGAGCCTCTGACAGAAGCTGCTCTGCACCAAGACTTGCCAGGGCCTTTCTGACCTAGTCTGGCCTCTGGGTCACAACTATTTGCTCATACACCCCTCCCTGATTCTCTCTGCCCTCCACCACCCCTCTGTTCTACTTGCATTCACATGCCAAAGCCCCTTAGTAAGCTCCACCCTGGGCAGAGGCTGAGAACACTGAGGGTTGGTGCCAAAGGGCTGTTTGGGAGGCAAGAGACACAAGCCAGTGAAGGGTCCCCCTGGGTCTGATCTCCAACTCGACCAGTTTTCTGGGAATAGAGTGTCCCTTCAGCCCTTTCTTGCCTGAATCCAGGACATAGACTTCCAGCACTGGCTGAACAGGGTGGTCTTGGCTACTGAGACACTAGAGAGCAAATAGCAGGGTTAGCCTTTTGGCTGATGTGTATGTAAACCAATTGGCCCTGTAAGGCCCTGCCCGTCCCCAAGCTGGCCACAGGGGGGCACCTGATCTCCAAGGAGCTCAGTCCGAGCAGCCACTGCAGGCCAACAGAACCTCTCCCTGTACCTGGGCACTGACTTCTGAACCACCTGGAAAGGCAGTGCCTACTCCCACCCCCACCTCCTATGGCTCTTTGAACCTTCTCCCTTCCCTCCTTTTGAAGAACGTTTTGTTTTCAAACAACTTTAGACTTAGATAAGAGTTACAGAAATGGTAGTTTCTGTTCTGTATACTGTTCACCCAGCTTCCTCTAATATTTAACACCTTACATAACCATGGTTTTGCCCTCTTTTTATGCCTCGATTGCCAGAAGAGATGAGTGGCCTGGGTGGAGAACAGTCCACTGGAATCATCTCTGCCTCAGCTCCTGCTGTAACCAGCACTGCTAGTGAAGCTTCAGTACACATGGTCCCCTGGCTTCCAGTAGCCAGGGAGGGCGTCAGGACCCAGGACACAGGCAGCAGGGGCTGCACACTGGCTGGCATGGTGGTGGAGTTCTCAGGCAGATTCACCCACTGGGTGGCAGGGAGGGGGACAGAGTGGAAGGTAATTTGCAGTGGCCCCCAGGTGGGGTGGTGTCCTGGAGCAGACCAGGCTATGCAACTCAGTGCAGCAGGGACCCTCCAAGTAGGTAAGGCATTTAGGAAGACAGTTGTAAAACGTGCCATTTCTGGGCCCCACAGTGGGTCTATGAGGAACTGTGAGGCCTTCGTCAGAGCAAGTCACTTACCTGCACACCTGCCTTCCGCCATGTACTCTTGACAGTTTGGGGGCAGAGGTTCTGTTCTCAGCTAATGGAGAGTCATAAGGGCTTTGGAAGACTTGGTACTCCAGAAAGGAAGTGATTCAGGTTTCTAAGGTACGTACAGCACTAACCACCCGTCAAGGCTGGCGCAGCCCTCTGGTCTGAAGTCCTCTCTCCTATAGCCAGACTATTTCTAACCTCTGTAGGCACTGGCTGGGAGTAATGAGCTCAAAGTACTTATTGCCCCAGGTTTCGGAGTATGTCATGTGAAATGCGCCCTGGCAAAGGCAAACTGAACTAAAGGAGCAAGTGATAGAGGAAGTGAGACTGGGACATTTTTGTTTCCCTGACTAAGCTGCCTGAGGTTCAGGGGTTCTAACAGGAGGGAAGCGGTGAGGGGACAGGGTTGGGAAGACCAAGTAGTCCTGTGTATAGAAGGCCCTCAACATGGGTCCTTCCACATCTGTGAGCACCTCAGTAACTGGTGGCTTAAGAGAAACTGCAGGACCTTTCACATGGCAACTCTGCTACAGGCCTGGATCAAGCAGGCTACTTCTAGAGCTGGCAGGGGAGGGGGTCTTTCTATCCCAGGGGCAGCAGAGCCAGCGCTCTGGCAGGAAGAATACAGGAAGGGATTATTCAAGGGGTTCCACAGCCAACTGTGTCCTCAGTTTCCCTGTCCAGAGCTGCCCATGCAGGATCAAGGGAGGTTGGGGACTTGGGCCCGTCATCTGGGCAGATGGCAAGTGACACCCTGCCTAGGGCTCTCCTGCTACAGTGACCCCAGAGTCTGGAGTGCCCCGGCCTTCAATGGGTAGGGTGGGTTCTGGGTGTTGTGAGAGGACTGGAGCCCATTCAAACCTGGGCAAGCCTGGCCTGCCAAAGGCCTGGGTTCAGATCCTGGGTTCAGATCCTGCTGCCTTTGGCTGGTCATGTGTGTTTGAACAAGAACCTTAACCTTGGTAAACCTGGAGTTCTTCACATGTGAAATGATAATACCTATCTCAAGGTTATTGTTAAGACTAAATCAGGTAATACGCCTTATCAGGCCTCAGAATAAACAGGTTGTCTTCTCCTCTTTGAGTAGGCTTTCCCAGTGTTGCTGAGTGGGGCCAAATGAAAGCAGGCTGAGATTAAACATGTGCCTGGAGAGAAGGGGAAGGGATGTCTCTGTGGAGGGCAGCTGATACAATGGGAGAACCTGGAAAGCTCGCTACTAACCTAGCCTATTCTAGCTACTATACCAGGCTCCAAGAGAGGAGGTATAAAAATAGATATGCAAAAATAGAACCGAAAGAAGGTTGCCAAAAGGACTGGTTTAATTTCTAAGATTCATGAACTTTCAAAGTTTAAAATCCTTACTGCCTATAAGTCCGATGGTGGTGGTTTTGAGATTTTCTTAAAAGTGGCCACAGATTCTCTGAGGCCAAGGATGACCATCAGCCATTTTAAGGATGTCCTTACGGAAGAGGCTGATGTGGGCCACAAGTCAGCTGACGAGTAAAGGGTGGCTGGGGTGCTTCTTGACCTGTGGAATTGTTTTCCACTCAAATCTCTTAACAGAGCCCTTAGTCCTGACAGGGGCTCAGATTTCCATCTCCATTCTGAGAAAAAGGAAGCGTGCCAGGCTCCTGCCATCCCTCCCACTCGGACAGGTTTTCATCCCTGCCTGCCACCACTGTGTGTGAAAGCTTAGAGGCTGGGGCACACTCTGATACTGTGCATCGTGCAGTGCCCAGGTATGAGGATCTAAGATTCTTGGTTATTCTTTTAGGAACTAAAGCCCCTTTTCTAGGAGATTTTGGTTCTCTTGGGAGAGGGTTTAGCTGTATCTAAAGAAATGTCCCCCCAGACCCCTACAGGGTATGGGACATAGTGCTGCTGCTTGGTTTATAAGCCAAGTTGGGTTAGCCAGCGCCGACCAGGTAGCAATGGACACTTCTTACGCCTTGGTGCCAGGCAGCTGTATAGGTTCCCTAGTGCTTGTCCCTGCAGGGATGAGTGTCCTAAGGAGGACGAAGAAAGTAGCTGAGTTCACTCTTCCTCCCTTCATCACCCACAACGGCATAAGCAGAAAGGCACCCCGTCTGCTCAGTGGCCTTCCATGCCGTAGCCCTCTCTTGGCCTGGGAGGCGTGGGCTCTGTAGGGCCCAGAGTTTGTGCCACATTCATTCTTACCCTCTCTCCTCTCTCCACTCCAGTGTATGTAGTGGAAGACCAAAGAAGGGATGACCTGGGCGCATCCTCCTGCCTCACAGCCTGCTGGACTGCTCTCTGTTGTTGCTGTCTCTGGGACATGCTCACCTGACCAGCCTGGCCCTGCTGTCCTGCCAGCTCTGCTGCCACCTCCAACAGGTGTGCCTGCCCCCATCTCTTCTGATTGCTGAAATAAATGACTAGCTCTGCGCAGACACTTCTACCTTCAACACAGTGGGATTCTAGATTAGCGGGTTACTGCTGTTTAATTCAGTGACTTGATCTTTCTAATGTTCAAAATCCATTTCCTATTGGCCTTTCACAAATGTGCTTAATGACTTTCCTTTTATTTTTTTGGCGAAAGGCTTAGTTATGAAATATATATTTATAATTTTTAAATTATACATTCAAGGTAGTAGCATAATGTAACATACCACTGAATGATTTCTCTGCTAACACCCTGTATGTTTTAATAAATTTGTCTAAACTTCAACTGTCTGAATTATTCCAGATAAAATTTAAGCCCTGGGTATCTCAGCTAGTGGCCACTGTCCAATATATGATGAGGGGCCTATTTACCTTTTCATTCTGGCTACTGCATGAGCAGGGTGGGTGTTATTAGCAAAGTAAATCCCAAGGCTGGGTGGCCTTCAGCCAGGTCATAGGGTCCTTGCTGAGCTAGCGTTCTCTCTCTAGTCCCACTCAAAGATGGGCTCACCGATGAGCCATACCCACGTCTACCCAGCAACCTAGGAAAGGGCCTCTTGGTAACTGTGGGCTGCCCCCAGCAGGAAGGAGAGTAGGACCCCACAGCGAGGGTGGGGCCAGACCCAAAGCTTTCTTTTCTTGCTGTCCCCTCCCAACACATACCACCCCCCTGACACACACATACAAGAGAGAAGAGCCATCAATTCAAACCAGTCAATCATGCCACACATCTCAGTTTTGGCCACAGGGTGGCACTGAGCTGCCAGAGCAGCAAGTCAGTTTCTCTCTGAGGGCATGCCCTGCCAGCTCTAAGACACTGCAGTTGAAAGCTCTCTGCCTGCCCTCTGAGAAGTGATGTGCTTATAAATATTTAACTACCAGTGCTCTCTCTTTAAAGACAAACAAAAAACCATGACTTTGTAGCATCACCTGATTTCTGTAGAGTAAATGGTCCCACCATAGTTGATTTCAAGCTACCGTGATGTCCCAAGAGAGGAGTTGGGAAGAGAAGCCAAGAGTGCACCATTATGTAGTAGTTCCACCGTCCAGACACAACAGACTGTTAACCTCAAAAACAAGATCACAGGCAGATTTAGTTATTAGGAAGAAAGAGGTTTTGAATATTTATTACCCTTATTCTTTAATAATTTAATTGTAAAGTTACATAATTTAACTTTTAATAACGGCTGTGTTTAACAACTGGCAACAAAATTCCTGACAATTAAACAACTGGCTCTCCTGAGCCAGTGTAAGCCAGCTCCAGCACACCACTGCCCCCGAGCCTCTAGGAGGTCCCAGGATTGTCACGTCCACCTTATGACATTGACCAAATGGACAGAGTCTTGGAGGTGTTGCTGGTTTATTACTCATTTTTTTTGGAATGTTTAGGAGAAAGCAGGAAAGGAATCTTTAGGCAGACTGCCACTGAGGAACTGCTGTCCTGCTCCCTTAAATTCAACTATGCCCTGGTCTTTCTTTCCTATCTGCACATTACACGGAGGCTCTGAGCTTGAGGGGTTTACTCAAAGGATCAGAAAGAAGAGGGGAAGGCTTCAATGCAAAGGATCAGAGAGGGACAGGTAAGAGCTCAGGTAGAGATGGCCTCTGCGCCTCTGTTCTCATCTGTTGGCTCAAGAAAAGCAGACTTAGTAGAGTGGCACAAATGCCTTTTATTGGTCTGACCAGCATGACTAGTAGGGAGCATGGGCAGAGCTCCCCTATCTGTCCTGGCTCCAATCTTCCCTCTCCTGAGAGTTCATGACTCACCTCCAGGGGAGAGGAGTGTCTTAGGCAGGGGTGGCAGGCAAAGCCAGGAAAAATAATACAGGGTTGGGATTTGAAAGGGGCTCAGGGTGATGTAGAAAACATAGGGTTACCAGACCATCCAGATAAAACATCTATCAGGGTAAAGCAGAGGCCATTTCCCTGCATAGGCTCCTTGTCCTTGCCAAGAATAGGAGGGGTCAGGAGGAAAAGTTTCCCTTGAGGCTTCCTACTGTGCCCTTCGTGCCATCAGCATCTCCCGGATGTTGTCCTCAGCTTCCTTCACACTGCGCTCCAGGTAGGATTTTTTCTGCTGCAATAGGAGAAAAAAACAAGGGTTACGAATGGGCTGGGTTGGCAGATGCGACTTTTATGCCCAATGGTCATGACTTCTCCTCTGTGACCAGTGACTTCCAGGAGCATGCTGTTGATTGGGAGCCAGGTGTATACACCTGACACATGGCAGGAGGAGGTTGCTTGGTACAGAAAGCAGAATGCTGTAGAAGGCAGTAGCACTCTTCCCCTAGAAGGAAGTAGACTCTAAAAACAGGCATCTGGGTACATAAAGTTACACCGGACAAAGGCCAGGAAATTCCAGGACAAAGCTCCGGCCCCAGAGCAAACTGTGTCTCAAGGTTTTCCATGGCTCCGGCCAGGTCTAGTAGCCACCACCACTGCAGAATGGACTGTGTACCCTCTGCTCTGTTCAGTGAGATGATAGGCTTCTTGAGTCCTAAAAAGCTGTATCACACATCTCACAGAGGCAGATGAGTCAGGATGAAATCTGCTTTTCTAATGAAACTGCTGCCAGCCAGGAATCCAGGACAGTGACACACTGAGTAAAACAGACCTTTTGGAACTTGACCTCCTTTCCCCATCTGGGTCCTAAATTAAAAATCTCAAACAAAGAACTTTACTTTCAGGAGACACATCTGGACCAGGATTACAAAAGATCAGTCAAAGGAAATGATGTCTGTACATTATTTGCCCTGTGGTCACCCCGCAAGTATGGTGGCTTCACCACTGGTCCCTGCCCTGAAGACATAGTTGTGGCTACATTCCCACTGAACAGACATGAAAGGAAGGCTCCCTTTTTGAGGAATACTCAAAATAACCCCCTCCCAGGATGCATGGGATGAAGCCAGTAATGCAGAGCACTGGCCCAGGCAGCCCAGCCCAGATGCAGCGTGCCCTTCTCTCAACCCTACCCCTTCACACGAGCAGCTGTGGCTTCAGGTTGACCACTAGAATGCCCAGAAGACCCAGGCAAAGGCCAGGGCAGAGGACAGGTGAGCAGCCTGGTCTGACAGGCCTTGCAGGAAAATCTAAATGAATGTCTCTATTGCTCGAGGCCTGCACCACGAAACCTCTATACATATCCCTGCCTCTAACTTCTCCCACACTCTGCCCAGATACTTATTAAACAATACATTTAGAGACCTTTTCCTGTAGGTGCCAAATGCTGTGGCATCCACGAATCTTTATCAGTTTTTGTATGAACCTCTAATTCCTGTTTGTCTTCTTTTACTTCAAATGTCCTGACAAGAAAGAGCCTGTCTCCCATCTGTCCAACGTCCATACAATACCTTACAAACAACAGGAATGCTATAAAAACTCACAGAACCATAATTTGATGGCCATAAATGTATGTTATTGCTAAAGAATTTTAACTACATTGCTAAACCTGATACAGCCCTATCATTGTCATATCCGAGTGGGGACTTCCTTTAATAAACAACCCTTAGACTGTACCTGTGAGTTAAAAAGAGAGAAATACTAATAACACCTGACACACCACTGAAGAATGTATAGGTACTGGGTGTTGCACAGAAGGGGAGTAGCAGCTAGATAGTGCCATTCAGCATCCAGCCCCGTGGGAATCTAAGGAAAAGGCTAGTAGAGCAATCTGGGTTGTACTCCTGCAGTAGTCAGCCAAGGTTCAGGGCTCAGGGACCCAGGTGTGCTGTACTCCATCTCTGCCAACTTGCTGCCCCAACTGGCAAAACCACAAACCTGGAACATCAGCAATAGCTTTCTACCTACTGTCCAGGCCTCTGGACAATCAATTCAGTATCAATTCAGATCAAAATCAAAGTAATTCTTATCTTTAAAATTCTTCATTCTATAATGTCTATTCCTTCTGTCTTCCACTTCCAGTTACATGACTTTTTCATGATTCTACCAGTGCATATCCTAAAGTCTTCAAGTTTCAAAAAATAATGCAAAATGAACTTGTCTATTTTTAAATCTTTAACTAAATTTGCTGGACATGAAAACAATTTTTTTCATCCCAACAGATGGGGCATCCCTAGCACAGAGGGACCTGTTTTCTAACTGTATTTCAATAGGTTCTTTCTCATCCTCAAACACACCTAAGCCCAAAAGAGGCTCATAATCAAACCCAGACCACAGCATCTGTCATGGGTTGAATTGTGTCTCATAAAAAGATGTTGAAGTCCTAACCCCTGGTAACAGTGAATGTGACCTAATTTGGAAAAAGGGTCTTTGGAGATGTAACCAAGTTAAGATGAAGTCATACTGGATTAGGCTGGGCCCTAAATCCAATGACTACTGTCCTTATAAGAACGCTGCATGAAGACAAAGGGACACGCAGGAAGAATGCAATACATCGCCGGAAGTACAAAGTGGAGGGTTGCATCTATAAGCCAAGGAAGGCTAAGGATGGTCAGCAGCCACCAGAAGCTCAGAAGAGGAATGGAAGAATTCTTCTCTAGGCTCTTCAGAGGGAGCAGAGACCTGCAACACTTTGATTTCGGACTTCTAGCTTCCAGAACTGAGAGAATAAATTTCTGTTGTCTTAAACCACCCACTTGGTGGTAACTAGTTATGCAGCCCTAGAAAACCAACATAGCACCTGAAATGAGGGATGCCCCCAGAGACAAAATCTACCACAACGCTCTTCTGGACCCACTGCCTCTGAGCACACTGAACTGCACAGGCATGGGTAAGGATCCCTTCAAGTTAGTACTATCAGACCGACTTCTCCCCCCGAAACTGTGGTAGAATTGACCCAAATACAAATCCGACTGTCAGAGAGAATGGAGAAAATGAAGGAACTAATAATTAAGTCAAACTTTCCCCTCCTTCGATCTCCACAGCTTCTTTGTAAAACTAGTCAAACCAGAAATCCTGTGGACCCCAGCCTTCCCCATTTCTGTAAATGACAACTCCGTTCTTGTAATTGCTCAAGACTGAAACTTTGGTATCATCTTTGACTCTTCTGTCACATCTGACATCCAATCAACCAACAAATCCTGTTACACTATCTCAAAATGTATCCAGAACCTGACCTGAATGAATAGCCTCGTAAATGGTCTCCTTTCTTCTTCCCTTGACCCCCTTCAGTTTCTTCTCCACAGTGGCCAGAGTCATCTTTTAACATTTAAAACCCTCCAATGGGTTTTACTCAAAAGTAAAAGGTAAAGCCTTTTCAAAAAGCCACAGTCTTGTTCTCAGCTGACTCTCCGACCTCCCCGCCCAAAACTCCCTCTCACTCATTCAGCTCCAGCCACAAGGCCACCGAGCTTTCCCTCCTCTCCACCTGCTACGCTCCCACCTGGCCTTTGCCCTGGGTGTGAGCTCTCTGTGTGTGGGAACTCTCTTCACAAACAGCCACATTACTTGCTCCTTTGGGCCTTTCTCAACGTCACTTATGGAAAGGCCTTGATTACGTGCAGCTGCAGACCCCCTATTCTCACCCCGACTTTCCCCCACAGCACCTACTACCACTGGAAGCAGGATTTGTCTGTCTGTCCTCTCTCATAAGAAAAGGTCCATGAGGGAAAGACTTTGTTCTGTCTGCTGATATAGCCCAGTGTCTAGAAAAATGAATGGTACATAACGAACTCAATACCTGTTGGATAAAAGTGTTTACGATGGGCAATGATGCCTTACTGATTGACTGGCACACACGGTCCTTTTTACTTCTCCCCACCAACCTGAATGACTGAGGGACACCCTCCAAAGGAAGCAAAGGCAGAAACTGGCCATTCTCCTTCAAGGTGGTGTGCAGTTTTGGCACTGCCCTCTAACCTCTGCCCCTGGATATACACAAGTCTAAAACTCAAACCTCACGGATCTCAATGGGGCATCAAAGCCTTAGTCCCACAAACAGAAGAGGCCCTTACGCCTTATCAGACCTACTGTAAAACTGTGAAACAAGCCACCCCAATTCCCCACATCCTGAAATGGCAAATCCTCGAGAAACTGCACAGTAACAGGCTGCTGGGAGCTACAAGGAGGCTATGCGGTATAAGCTCCAGGAGGCATTTTTAAACCCAAACCTCCACCAGGAGTCCCAGGAAGGCATTTGCTGGCCTCGCTGCAGCATTTTTCTGTCTTGCTGAGCAATCTCCCTCAGAACACTTTCCCTAGGAATTCTCTAGTGGCATCAAACCACAGAGCTCTGGGTGCAGTGACTTTCTTGTGGGGCCTTGTCCTGACATGAAATTCTGCGATTTCCTGTGGGGCTCAGAATGGCAGGGAAATGAAATTGCTGGGCTTACTGCACATCAGCCCGAGTTTCTTTCTGGAAGTCAGACTGGGGCTGGCATTTCATTCTTACCCTCTCATGGAGGAAAGAGGCTCAAGTCCCTAGGACTTTTCTGACATGACACGTCTCTCAAATTGACTCCTGAGGTAATTCATCTTATGACACTATCTCTACAGACTGTCTTTTCTTAGGAAGTTTGTCCTCTCTAATATTTTCCTGTTTGTCACTTCTTGGGGTACAGAAAAGTTTTCCCCTCTCACCCTCTATTTCCCCATTTATAAAATGAGGATTTGGGCAATACCAATGTCCCCATTCCCCCATTTTTCTTTAGTCACAGAACTCTTTCTTCAAATGAACTCTTGTCTTAAAGACAAAATAAAGAAGACAGGTACAATGGAACTCAGGGAAGAAGATAAAATGGAGCTCATGACAGATAAAAGCAGATCTTCTGGCTTGTCCCTTGCCTCCAATCCAGTGTACAGGGGCAGCAGGCACATAGTCTTGGTTCCTTTTGCCCCTAATATTCTGTGAGACCTGTGTTGAGACCCTCTGTTCTGAGCTCCATGTTTCTGACTGAGTTTCACCCACCCTGGTCACACACTTCTTCCTTTACTGAATTTCCAGCTTCTGCAGACAACCGCCAACTTCAAGCTCTACTATTAATAAATAAAAAAAACCTTAGGCAGAGGCTATCTTCTCACTGTCTCTCCCATGACTTCCAAATTAAAAACCCGAGAGCCTCAATGATTCTCGTGTTCTCTCAGTTTGCAAAACTGTAAAATGGCCAGAGGGTGCCAGCT